AGGAAGACAAAATATTTAACAACAAAGACCTATCAACACAATTGAAGGCGTCACTGTAATCCAAGAAACAAACAAACAACGAGCTTGTGTTCCTCTCTCATTTTGAAGAGAGATGTGGATAGGATATATTTGTGTGTAATTCAATTCTGTGCCGTTTGCCATCACACTTGCACATGTGTCCACTCCTCCGATCACCGTTCACATTGATCGATATGCATTGGTTGTCCCCCGTCCATTGTTCCCCACATGGACTCTCCGCGCTGAATCACACGTGTGGTTATCTCAGTCACCGATCTCGCTTCGCATGACCTTTGTCAAACGTCTGTCCCCTCGCCGTTCACAGCGCATCAAAATTAGTCGACGGAGTATATCGTCATGTGCCACGCTATTGGTCACTCCCATTTTAGCAGAATGTGGTCTACTGGGTTGCGCCAAAGATGTCAAAACAGGTATTGCACGCAGCTACTGCCAAAAATGCTATCATTCCAGTTGCGCCAACCTATCGAACAAGAGTGTCAAACAGATGGCAGCACAACCAGATTGTCCGTGGTTTTGCACGGATTGTATACAGGTTCCTAAAACTCTCGACTGGACTGTTGACATCATTCCTTCGTCATCAGGGTGTGCACTGTCTGGAATTTCTTACCATCTCATGTCGTTTGTGCCAGGACGATTGATTCTTTCCAGATGAAACTCGACGAATCATTAACAAACATTACCTTCCAACACCCATGAGCACATATAACAACCGAATACAGCATATGGAATTTTACTCATCATTGTTACAGTTCAATTCGCGTAAACACCCTGTGGGACAAGAGAAGCATCTGCTCGTAAGTAATACCCATAATAAAACTTTGATTTTGGTATTGAAGTGATACGAACATCGTACCATTTATAAGCTAGTAGAACTGACTGACAGTAACTGACCTTATAAACAAATGCGACTTATAAGAATGCTGATGTTCCTTTCCATCGCATTATATTACGTTTCTGCAGAAAGATTACGACAATTTATCAGTAGAGTCCTCACAGTGGTCATTACTTTTAAACTCGGTCTACTTTCTAACCGTAACCTTGTGAAAAATATGTCCGCTGTAATGTTGTGCAGTTTGTCGATGTTCCTTACGCAATAATAAATACTTTTTCTGACAACCAGTAACTCTTTTTATCAAATGGATCGACTGCGCTCTGTTTCGTTCAGTTCTGTGGGTTATGCCAGGAATAGGTGAGCCAAAGTTAATCAGGAACTGGTTTTGTCGATGACATTGATGACAGGCAACCCATTCACCCAACTTCACCTCAAGAACTCCAAACTTTGTCACTGAACAAATATTGTTATACAAATAGACCGGTGATAAACGTAATGGAAAGTATATCTCTCGGAGAACATCGTGAGCACAAAACTCGTCCCTGGTCGTAGCTACTGTGGTAACCTTTAGTTAACGAGCTGTCGTCAATGTCCGAGTCACTACAACCAGTTGTAATTTAGTTGTAGCGAGCATGAAACAGCGCGCTATCGTTCGTTTTTATCGATTCGGGTCCAGCTTAGCTATCTCACAAAATCGCACGGCTTCGCCGACTCACCGAATCGACGTCCGTCAGCGATCTTGACAACATGCAAGACAGGTCTGCAGGTGATCACAATTCTCGGAAGCTTGTGAGAAGCTTTCAGGAAAGAACTGAATGCACTACTGGAGGACGGAGTCTAGTAAGTCATCACAAGAGTTGGTCGGGTCATTAAACGTGGAGGCAGTGGTAGTAGTGGTTTTTTAGGTACTACTCACATTTGTGAGTAGTATGCAAATATTACGGTTGGCAGTTTCTTTCAACAATCAAAAATTACCGAGATCACTGAGGACGAATTACTGTGCCCCAAAAGAATAACTACGGAATGCTTCATTGATTACTCGGTGTGCTGCCGGGAATTGTGATGACACGTTTCAAATGGGATATCAGTTATATGTATGCTGAATTATTGATATTCCAACTGTAATATGCAATAGATAACTTTCCTCGACCAGGCACCGCCTTCTGGAATTATAACAGCAGAAGTAGTAGTAGAAGCCACCAACCAACAGATGAACTGTTTCTCCTGAACGGGTACCATGAAGTTTCGCTAGCATTAGACTGTAATTATTTTGGGGTCAATTTTTATGACTTGTCGGTGTCTGTGTGTGTGTGTGTGTGCGTGTGTGTAATGAGAGAATCTTTTTGTCCGCATTTGCATAGCCATAATCGAATGATTTGGCCTGTGGAGTTGATCATGCTGGATAAACGGTTATATATCTCTTATACCACCAGTGTGACTTACTGTGGAAACATTTATTGTCTGTGTTCCGCCCATCACAGTATTGATGCTCTTTTCACGGACTATTTGTTCGATATTCTGTCCCACGAAAACGCACGAGGTCATCGAGTTACTAATCACTTCTCCCCCCACCCGACCCCCACTCCTATATGACGTAAACAGACATGCACCTGCTGATGAACACAAACTCATACCATACTGATATCAGTCCTGACTTTTATCTGTCTGTTCAGATATCACGAAATGCAGCCGGGTCTGCGTGTTTGTTTTCTCTCGTCCTCCCCTTACAGAGGGAACTAACATGTACTCCCTCTCTCACACACAATATTGATCACAACATTATGAATCCCCTTTGTATCAGAACGGAATATACACAAGCAAGTCTAATCGTCTCGACCTGGGCTCAGAATTGCCGTGGTACAAAGAGTTCTCTCACTACCAGGAACACGGACGTATCGCCTAGCGAAAGAACTTTACAAACTACTCAATCACTTGGTTCAAGGTTCACAACATTCTATCAACTCATCTGAGCAATTTCTGTAAAAGATCAAACAAATGAGATTGGAAGAAGATGAACTTATGGTCTCGTTTGATGTCACTGCTCTATTCACTTCAATAGACATCAATTTGGAAAAACAAACTATGGCTACTCTAATGAACATGGACAATGACAACCCAACAACTAGTCGAATCGGACAACAAAA